GCTTCTCACCAGAACTCCGAGAACTCCCTCATGAAGCTATTCACTAGTGAGCACATGTTGATTACTAGTATAGGGGTTGTGAAGATTATTAAGTTTTGATTGAGTTTGAGGTTAAGCGTTCGCGCGCGAGACCGAAGGCTCTGGGTTCGAATCACACGAGCGGGATCGTGGATGCGCACTGCTGAGGAATTCCACAATAGGACGAAACGGCCGTCTAGTGCTTCCAAGTTTCCAAATGTGGTGGTCTAACATCAATCGGTTCATGATCTCAATCAAAAACTTGATAATCTCCACAACCCCTATACTAGTAAAGATGGTTTCATTGATTAGAATAAAGAAAGCTGTACAACTATTTCTATTTGAATATATATATGAAGATCCAAGTTTTTTCTCACTTTAGGGTTGTGATGATTGAAATTAAGAACTATTGTGGTGTGTGCTACTTATATTGACATAAGTAATAGATGATGTTAGTCGTGAACAGAAGGTCTGGCAGCAGAGAGACAAGAGGATCGAATAGTAAAGAATGGAAACAGAATGCAGTTTGTATGAAAATGCAAGAACAATGAAATCTGAGTCATTATGAGACAATTGATGGACATTTTGCAAATGAAGCATTCACTTTATGATTGATTGTTAGATTTTATTAACAAGTCCGATTGTCCCCATTGGTGTTCTGCTTACTACACTAATAATCATTTTTTTCTAATTGATCAACTAACTTACAATTTACGATTTCAGCTATGGCTTACAAAACATCAATTATTTTACTTACTTGATGTTGTTGTTTACTTGAATCTTTCCATTCATATTTAGGACTTCAGATGATCAGTCTGTTATTAGTATATTTACATATTATGTGTATGAATAGCCTTTGGAAATAATTGGAAAGGATTGCCCAGGACATGATTGGATGGAGAGTAATGGTGGGTAGCCTATGCTCCTCAATGACCGGTAACTTACTTACTTACTTACGTCTGTTACACCCAATGGAGCATAGGTCACCGACCAGTATTCTGAATCCCACTCTGTCCTGGTCCTTGCTTTCTGGTTCTATCCTATTGTTGCTCATTTTTCTCGTGTCAGTCTCCATTTCTCGACATAATGTGTTCTTTGGTCTTCCTTTCTTCCTTTCACTTTGAGGATTCCATGTGAGGGCTTGCCTTATGACACACTTGGGTGTAATCCTCAATGTGTATCCTATCCACTTCCTACAGTTCTTTCTGATTTCTTGCTGCACTGGGATCTTGTTTATTCTGTCTCACAGTAGGTTGCTGCTAATAGTGTCTGACTAGAGCATCCGAAGTATTTTGCGTAGACAACTGTTAATAAACACTTGTATCTTCTGGATGATGGATTTCGTAGTTTTCTAGGTTTCCGCCCTAAACAGCAGAACTGTCTTGATATTAATATTTAAAATGATGACTTTGGTGTTGGTTGACAGTTGTTTTGAGTTCCAGAAGTTTTTCAATCTTAGATATGTTGCATTTTGCCGATCCATGCGTTCACATTTGCATCAGATCCACTCTGTTCATCAATTATGCCTCCCAGATATGTAAAGACTTTTACATCCTCCAAAGCTTCTCCGTCAAGTGTGATTTGATTAGTGTATGTTGTGTTTTATCGGAGAATATTGCTTTCCAAGGTGGAGTTTAGAACTAATAGACGTAGGTAAGTAACTAAATAATACTGGGCATAATGTTTCGATATCGCCTTAATTCATAAGTATTATACAGGTATATCCATCTGACGAATCCCAAATAGGACGAAACACACATTCTGGCTTCCACTACTAGATAGATAGACAAATAGAGAGAGAGATGTGTATGGATAGATAGATGGTTAGATAGGTAGATAGATAGATGTGTGGGTAGATAGATAGATATATAGGTAGATGTATGCCGAATTGAATGGGTGTCTATTTAGAAAAACAGAAAGAGAAAAAAAACGTTGAACCAAGTGTTTATTATTAATGAAATGAAGTTTAGAATAAATAAACAACACACCATTGAGATGTCATAACTTGAAACTATGTAATTTTACTAATAAGGATTAATGATTACTGAAATTGACGTTAAATATTGTTTTTATTACATTCATATATACATATACATATATTATAGGCCATAGTGACGACCGGTTGTGACTATGTTTAATTGGTATGATTTATGTAGGCTAATTTTAGATGTTTAGTTCTATTCATTAGAACTGTTCTTTTATTCAGTATAACACTGATAAGCACAATAAATGAACTTAATTACTTACTTACTTAATTACGTCTGTTACGCAATCATGGTTGAGCATAGGCTAGACACCAGCATTATCCATCCATCTCTGTCCTGGACAATCCTTTCCAATGTGTTGTTCAATCCTCTACTTTTCTGTTTCTCTTCACAAGTTGAAGTCAGGATTTGCCTCATGATTCAGTTTGATGACTTACTCAATGTGTATCCTATTGTTATAACATGTGACCGCCGATTAGAGAGCGGCGACTTATCGATCGGATCAATGACGCGTAAAAAACGTGCGAGCAGCCTAGAGTTCTGATTTGCCCTGCTTTCCGCCTAGCCCAGACAGTTCAGTCCAGAACACGAATCCGAGCCTCTGCAATATGAATCCTTATATTTAAAACATACTGAGTTTATATACCAATCAAACAGACCACAACGTACCAATAAAATATGAATTAACATTTGTACAAGAATTAGCCAGATGTGGCTGTGAATGAGGGAGGTAGTGACTAATAGACAGGGCATAATTCAAGAATGGTAAATTGTATAATAATAGTTCACAGGTCAAAATAAAGCTTATAATAAGAGGAATATGAATATGCATAGTTTAGTTATTTAATAACTATACAATAGAAATACACGTTTACTATTGGTCCATCAATAGATCCCAAAAGTTACCATTCATTATTTTTGTCGGGACATAACAGCTATCTACTTCAATTGTCTTTTCCTAATTACTTCTTCAGATGGAAGTTGGTTCGTTCTCTCTCACATTAGGTTGTTACTGATGGTATCTTGTCAACGGACATTAAGTATCTTGTATAGGCAATTGTTTATAAATACTTTTATTGTTTTGATGATGGTTATAGTAGGTCTGGAAGTTTTAGCTCTATATTAATAGAACCAACTGTCTTGACGTTCGTATTGTTGATTGTGACTCTGCTATTGGTTGACGGACAGTGGGTTTGAGTTCCATATGTTGTTCAACTGTGTGAACGCTATCCTTACTTTGACAATCCTAACCTTTACGTCTGCATTGGTTTCTCCTTGTTCATCGATGATGCTACCCAGACACGTGAAACTTTCAACCTATTCCAGGGTTTCACCATCAAGTGTGACAGGTTTGATTAGTGTTGTTTGTGTTGTATTTGTTAATGTTGCTTTTCCCTTTGTATATATTGAAGCCTACTGATGCATAGACTGCTACTACACTACTTCTCTTCATCTGTATTTGTTAGTGTGTATGAGATAGAAGAGCCATGTCATCTGTGAAGTCCAAATCGTCTAGTTACTATATCAATAGCTTTACTTAATCAAAATAGTTTTCTGGTTGATAAATCGTCACTACAATCATTAGTATGCTGATAGTATATAGACTACTTCTTCAACTTACTTATTATAAAATAGTTATACCTGTTTCAGTTAACTTAAACATTGAAATATTTGTCATTTTAGTTTAACATAAACACATTCATTTTTATCAAAAAGGTTTTTGTGGATATTATAGTATTTTTAATAGTTGAGATCATGAGTTAATTGAAACTAGAAAACTGGAAAACCTGAAACATTGGATGGTCACTTCGTCCTACTGTAGGACTCCTCAGCAGTGCTCATCCACGATGCTGCTTCATTACATTAGCAGGTGTTTATCAGGACTCAATATCTAAGTGGATAACGCGATGGTATTTGAAGTGAACGGTATTTAGTTTGATTCTCAGAGTGAACATCAACTCTGAAATCCAGATACATCCAGATGACAAGTCCCAAATAGGACTAAATTGACTTTCTGGTTTCCACTACTAGTCACTATCCATATTCGTTTGGTACAATCAATGTGCATTTTATGATTGATGCTGATAAGAACCAGTAACAAATCATAATTTTTCAAAATATTTAACATACCGAGTTAATAAACTTGGTTTCTTTAGTAAGAGTTTAGTGAACGACACCAGAAGTAGGATACAATCGAATATATTTGAATATGAAATTACAGAACTCCTTATTGAAATCTAAAAAAAAACTATACCATGAATAGTTCATTTGCAAAATATTCGTCCATCATCTCAGTTTTTATTGTTCCTCCATTTTCATACCAAAGCATACCAAGTGAATTCAAATTCACCCCATTGCACAAGCAAGTGGCTATCAGGATTCAGTAGCTGAGTGGATAACGCGATAGCGTTTGAAGCGAATGGTACTGGGTTCGAGTCACAGAGTGAACATCAACTCTCTGGGATGCAGGTACATCCAGCTGACGATTCCCAAATAGGACGAAGTGACGCGCGTCCTGGACTCCACCGCTAGCCACTATCAATCATTGCTTACAAAAAGCTTGTGGATTTAGGTAATATCGAGGCATACGCACAGTATGCACATATGCCAATAACAGACTGATTAATTCCATTCTTAAACCTCAATGGGAAGATACAAGCTAAACAATACCAAGTGAATTCCAATAACTTTCTGTTCCCATTCTATTTTCCTTGATCTTCTTAACTTTCTACTGAGAGACATTCAATTCTTGTTTAACATGATATACTACTTATGCTAATATAAGTAGCACACACACACACACCATACAAGAGGAACATAATTGTCATTGTAATTGTTTATTGATAAATACAATATTATTGTCTTAATCGCCTACACTTACCAATATCTATTGGATAAAATAGTTCATTGTATCATTGAAATAAAGCACAATTCATTAACCAATCAAAGTTGTTTGTGTATTTTTTTTTGTTGTTGTTGATTCTCTATATAGTTGATGATTTCGTTTTCCATATTTATCTTAAACACCATAGTGATTGAATTCAAGCGAAATTCATTTCCAACATTTTTCATCATCATTAAAAGTCCTTAGTAACTAAAAAAAATAATGAAACTTTTCATTGAATAAAAAGAGAAACAAGAAAAAAAGGGAGAAAAGAATAAAAAAAGAAAAAAACATTTTCATGATGATTTATTTAACACGTTGGTCCATGTTATATACAAGTCTATACATATTAGTCTATTTAATTTATCAATCAAAATTAATATGGACATTATCTAATTCATCTATTTATTCCTATACATATACTACTTATATCCCATCAGTAATATTCAATAGTCATGAATTAGTAGTAAATAAGATTCATCATCATCATCATCATCATCATCATCATCCTAAACAAATCCAGTTAAATTGTCCATTAATTCATGCCCAACATGGTGATTTATTAATGATTTTTCAATCAACTTTATCTATTCATCAAGTGATATTAAATGAGACCAATTTAAAAGTTCATTATATATTGAATATTGATCATCGTGATCATAATGATTATACTACTGATTATTGGTGTAAATTACATCGTACAATGAATAATGATTATGTTATCATATCAGAAATTCAATTAATTCTTACATCGAATCTAAGTAAGTGATCTATTCTTTATTGATGGTGTATTATAATCTCATATTAATAAAGATGAATAGTAGTGAATCAGTTATAATAGAGGATGAGACATAGATAGACATTAGTCTAAGTGACTATAATTTACTTATTACCATAACAAGATGAACATTGAATTCATAGAAATAGTTAATTTAGTGATAGTGTGATGTGTGTGCTACTTATATTGACATAAGTAGTATATGATGTTAGTCGTGAACAGAGTGTCTGGCAGAAGAGAGACAAGAGAATCGAAACAGAATGCAGTTTGTATGAAAATGCAAGAACAATGAAGTCTGAGTCATTTTGAGACAACTGATGAACATTACAATTGATTGATCACTGGGTGGTGATCAATGTCATGCTTGTCTAGTCCTTATTAGTGCAGATCGAATGCTATAGATCATGTTGCAATGTGGCCAACAGTCTAGGTGACTCGACACTGCGGGCACTATGTATTGAGATTTAGATGGTGGTTGGAGGTAGTCAACAGGAAACCCTGGACCCGAGTTTCGTGCTACTTGGCACTCGTCAGCAAGGTGTACCTGTAATCTTGAGGGAACTGATGCTCCCTGGCGGATTCGATCTCGTGTCACTCAGCTTCACAGTCAGAGACGTTACCACTGAGCTATCCGAGCCGTGACTAACCTCCTGTACGACTGAGATGTAATCACAATTGATTGATCACTGGGTGGTGATCAATGTCATGCTTATCTAGTCCTGATGAACATTTTGCAAATTAAGCATTTACTTTATGATTGATTGTTAGATTTTATTAACAAGTTCTGTAAGCGTATGTTAAATGCATTTGATTGTTCCCACTAGTGTTCTGTTCACTACAATAGTAATATATAAGAAAAAGAAAAGGATTGAAGGGAGAAAGAATTAGTTTATAGAAAGAAAGGTGTAAAGTGAGTTTAATCTCATGGTTTAAAAGAAGACAAGATCTATATTACCCAAAGTCTCTAACGATTGGTTAAGATAGTTGCGCGGATCCTAATCAATTAGTGTGTATCTACCAACATGACTTTACGGATTGATATCATGTTTTGGTTTGCTCAACGTCTAACTTTGTTCTGACAATCTCAAACATTAATCAGCTTTGTGCGTCGTGATAATTGATGTTCAGCTATATGTGACACAACTATCACAATCGATGACGATTTCCAACTTCATTAACTAATTTTTCATCATTCCTTAATACATTGAATCTAACCTTATTATTACTTACCTGGTGATCCTAGCAGATGAATCCACAATGAATAGATCATTCAATTTAGGACTCATCAACTAGATAAACCTACATTTCATGGTTCAATTCGGAACTTGATTTTAAAGTAATATCGAGATAATCTGCACAAAGATATATATACATATATACTAATAAAAGACTGGTCAATTATAGACTTAGATATCAATGAGAAGATTCAAGTTTCGTTCTATCGTGCGACTCCTCCGTAGGGCGCATCCACGACCTCGCCTCGTGGGATTCAAACCCAGGACCTACCAGTCTCGTGCCAGGAGCCTAAGCATTAGATCACTGAGCCGGCATCCAACAGTGTTATTGTCTAACTTTAATTTGTTTATTTAAACACATAAAAATTGGTATAAGGAGGCACTAATCTAGATATGCACCACATAAATTATTCTGTTTATGTAGGAGTTAGGATACTACTCAAGTGAACAAACCGGACTAGGTGATTTTCTTAGGGGAATTTCATGCTCAGTCGTTGATCTAAAGGTCTAATCATAAGTCGTTTAGGCGTATATGTTATCAGTTACAAACCTGTATTCACTTCGTATACAGGAATGAACTGAACATCATGACAAGAATTGAAATGAAACAACTTATCAGATATTCTTTGTTCATTAACCTTTTTCAGGTTAGAAACTGTTTATGATAATAAAAACAATAATGTCCACCTTATTCAATTGTAGTAAAGAGTTTTTAGCACACCTTAACAGTATTACAATGAACAAAGATGTATAGTGGCTAGTAGTGGAATTCAGGACGGGCGTTTCATTCTATTTTGGACTCATCAGAGGAATATAACAATAATTCAGGATTGATGTTCACTTCAAGATTCAAATCCAATACCGTTTGCTTCAAACGACGTTATGTTATTCACTTAGCTATTGAGTCCTGATAGCCACTAGCTTATGCAGTGAGGTGAAGTTTTAAATTCACTTGGTACGATTTACTTGAATTTTCTCATTAATATTTAGGACTACATTCTCTATCCAATCCTGTCCTGGGCAATTCTTTCCAGTTCTTATTCATCCTTTTCAAGTCTGCTTCCAATTCCCAACGTAGTGTATTCTTTGTTATTCCTCTTTTCTGTTCTTCTTCAGGATTTCAAATTAGATGAATAACGTTATTACTTTACTTATGCTTGTTACTCACAATGGAGCATGGGCCGCCGACCGGCATTCTCCAACCAATTCTATCCTGGACCTTCCTTTCTTGTTCTATGCAATTGTTGTTCATTCTTCTTATGTCTATCTGTCTCCATTTCTCATTTTAATATGTTCTTTGGTCTTCCGCTTCTATTCTGGCCTTGAGGATTCCATGTAAGGGCTTGCCTTGTGGCACTGTTCGAAATATATATTCCATATTTCATAAAACTATAGCATATTCCTCTTATAAGCAGATATGGATAGTGGCTAGCAGTGGAATCCAAAATGTGCGCCACTTCATCCTATTTGGGAATCGTCAGTCGGGTGTACCTGCATCTCAGAGAGTTGATGTTCACTCTGAGACTCGAACCCAGTACCGTTCGCTCCAAACGACATCACGTTATACACTCAGCTACTGAGTCCTGATAGCCACTTACTTGTGCAATGGGGTGAAGTTTAAGTTAAATTGGTATTCACATGGTATTCTTATACTTGAATCTTCCCATCGATGTTTAGGACTGCGATTGATCAGTCTCTTATTGGCATATGTACATACTGTGCACATTGTCCCGATATTGCCTTAATTTACAAGCCTTATAAGCAGAGATGGACTGATCAATATCAGTACTATACATCAATGGGAAGATTCAAGTAAAACAATACCAAGTGATTATTCCTCTTAGTTCTATAAAATTAATATTAGAATATTCAACTATTAGATGATAATTCTATCAAATTGAATCTTCAATATTCATAGTTCAATATATACATTTCATCATGAATATAGATTGTTGTATGATTCAAGAACAAATCACGTTTCTAATATTTTTCTAATTTCAATGGTTGCTTAGCTACGATTCATTTATGAGATTAGATGGTGGTTGGAGGTAGTCGACCAGAAACCCTGGACCGAAGTTTCCTGCTACTGTAGTGGCTGTGCTTCGTCGACCAATCACTCTCGTAAACGTTACCATATAATCCTCAACGGTGTTTGAAATCAGAAGGCAAAGAGAAGCAGCGACTACAGTTTATATTAGCGGATAACTCGGACCACAAAGCAATGAGGCGAATGAGTGAGTCAGCGAACCGAGAGTGTAGAGTGTTGAATGTACATGTATATATATAGGGAAATGAATGGATCATCGAATCAATTAAGTAGCTAATAATAAAGCTAGCAGAGTGAATAAATGCGTAGGCAGTAAGCAATGTTCAAGTATATATATTTCATATAAGCACAACAATAATAAAGGTGCAACAAGTTGTTATAGTACAGATGACTTTGTCGGCTAAATAAGTTAACAAAAAGGATTAACCGAATTGAATGAGAACAAATTCAATTGCACGTGAGTTGCTGTACTACTTAGCACTCGTCAGCAAGGTGTACCAGTAATCTTAATCGAACTGATGCTCCCTGACGGATTAGCACTTGACATACATGACATTGATCACCACTCAGTGATCAATCAATTATGATTACAATTCATTGATAAATATATAAAAAGTTCATTATGTTGTTTGTTTATCTTAATCGACAAGTAACCTTGTTCAATTCATCTTACTATTTCTATACCAAATAGATCCATTCTCATACTGATCTATATTAGAATCAATATGAAAGTTTTCTAAACATCTATTATATGGTTCTATTCATTTTCAATTAAGATAAATTATAAATGAACATTAAAATAAATGACCTTGTAGAAGAAAATACCATCACCACGACCACGACCACCACCACCACCACCACCACCACTAGCACCACCATCACCAACACCATCCCCGGAAACAATTATTCAATTTAATTAAAATTAATTACTTAGTTACTTAGTTACACCTGTTACCTCTTATGAAGAAGGGAACTTAATTAAAATTGATGCCTTTATAAAAAAAGGGGGGGGTTCTTGTTCATGTCTCATATTCATAATTATTATTATTATATCATTACAATCAATGATAAAGATGTACTTTATATTAATAATAATAAGAAGAGGAATACAAAGATTTGTGAATAAAGATAACAGAGTCAATTGCAATTGACTAAGAAAGTACAATGGTCAAATTCAGTCATTCAATAGTTAAGATTACTATTAACTACTTGATATTGAAGTTGGCTAGGGGAGGAAATATGGTTGATGATATTTCTTTTGTATGCACAGCTCTAGCTTCTTCATCTGGATGGTTATTGTTTAAGACGTTTGAAGGACTTTAAGTCTGTCAAGATTTAGGAAAATATTACTAACGTAATAAATAATTGAAAAAGGATTGATTTATACTGGCACTATAACTAGTTTGCACTAAATAGGTCAATATCGAGCTGTTCACTTTCTTCATCAAACCTTTGTTTAGCCATGCTAGCAGGTGTTCACGAACAGGAATTCCTAGAACTTTGACCAATATAAGTTGCTCCACAGGAGCAGTTAAACCGATAACTATAAAATAAGGTGGTCATTCTAAGTAATTCATCTTTTCGCCTCGATGTCACCATTGGGTACATAGAAAACAATAATCGTAGTTCTCCGGCGTTGAATGATTTTTGGATTGTTCTACATGATCTCTAAGTTATACTGGCAATATAACTAGTTTGTAA